TTCGCGTGCGTTAGTCTTTCAGCCCATTAAAGACTGTAATTTTCTAGAATTAAACATTATTAATTTTATTCGCCGCATTACGTCATTTCGTTTCCTAATAGTTTAACGAATCTATCACGGATTAAATTTTAAATCGATTTCATCTAGGGGATTAGTCGGATTAAGCATTAGGTCACTCACACCTAAGATAGATCGAGTGTCACAAGTCAGGTGACTTAAGGTGAGTTCAACTCTGTTAGAAAGAAGACACTGAAACGAAAGTATCAAACATAAAGGCGAATACACGTATACCCATACGTGTTTAATGGAGTCGCGGTTAGCTCTGCATCGAGGGAGTTTGTTCTTAAATATATCCCTATTGTACTAGTTAAACCACCCCGTTACAATAAATAATAAGTATAATTAACATCACAGCACATTAAAAGCCTTCGGGTATACTTAGTCACGTGTCTGGATTTTTCTAGCTATCGGTCTGTGTTATCTATCACGATACGATACTGCTAGATCAATATGAATAATCTTCTCTTCTTGTTTAGGTGTTACGGATGTATTTAGAAATATGCTCTCAGAGAATTTTTGGACAAAGACATTGCGTTTGGATCATTTCATTACGCCGCGGACTGTTTGCTAATCGATGCGCGCGTGCGATGTCGAACTCGAAAATAAGATCGAGTGACCATGCGTAACGGCATCGACACTCTCATTTTTAAAAAGAATCTCTAATCTGCCGACATTTGTCGGTTGGTTCCTTTGTTGTTAAGTTCAGTTACGGCCTCTTCGAAACTCGAAACTCAAGTAACCCTACGAATATTGTTTAATTTAAGATAAGCGTGTGAGAGAAGCGTGCGCCGCATCAAGCTGAGTTACGATTATAATCAAATTTGACTTTTTACCATTGCTACGATCGCTGCCTCCAAACTCGCAAAAATGCATACATCGCTAAAAAAGATGGCAAATGCATTGTGGCAATCAAACTGGTTGAAAGGTTACCTTTCAAAGCTGATTGTCGACGACGGACATTGAGCGTCCGTCACCCCGTTGTTTGAGCCGAAAGTCGGCACCATCAAACAACGCAATACGAGCCACCAAACACGGCACAATATTTAGCGCGCGGTCGGAATCATCATAGACTTCGACTCGAGCCAATCAACTAGAGTACCGAGCAGTTGACACATGAATAAGGAAACCTCATTGGCAGGAGGTCAAGAAGTTCACGCCTTCGACCTTCGTGCGAGGAAAGGGAAGTAAGATAAGAACATTTTTTTTTGATCGGACTCAGCTGGCGCGGCGACGCGTCTCAACCATTCTAGATCCGGTACTTGAACAAGCAGTTCTCCTATCTTTAAGCACGCGTGCGTCAATTATATTTCATTAATTGTACTTCCGTTAATTGTACCTTTATACTATTTAGAATTACGATTCTCGTGTCGACACGAATTTAATCCTTTCTTATTTTAACTAGTTTAGCCGGCGAACCTTTATAAATGTAATTTGTATCGTTAGTTGTTAGTTTGATTGTAAGCTTACTTTGGTTCCGAGCGTTCCGGTTTATTTAGTATTTTAAGTAGTGTTATTGTGAATTAAATAAATCCGGCGTTCTTTATATCAAATATTTTAAACCCTCCACTCTCAGTCCTTCTCACCCTAACATTAGGAGTGTTTTGGATGTCAAATATTACATTATTGAATTTTCAACAACTATATATCGCTCTTTTCAATTGCTTTATAATTTAGACGTTTTACCTTTGATGCGTCTAGGATTATAGAACCAAAGTTTATGCTCATTTTGAAAATCAACATATCGAATTATTCTGTTATAGTGTCTTTTTGTTCATTGTGAAGGAATAATAATGTTATGTCTTGCTAAGTTCAGTACCTTATTTAGTGTAGTTTTAAACTTGCGTACACAATTAATTAGTTGTTGTCATCAGCTTTTCTGATGTTTGAGGAGATTTACGTACCAAAACCGAAAGAAGCTTTACACCAGTTCCAACATACATCTCTGATAAAATAATACTTGTTGTTGAGTATACCGTAAATCTGTAAGCTTACAAAGAATAGAAGGCAATCCAACGGTTCCAATCTTTTCGGTCACCTGATATAAATTATGATAAATTTTCTAGTAATGTTTGATTTTACCTTTCAACTTGACCGTTTGATTGTGGGTGTGAAGGTGTTGTTCTTGTTTTCTAAATACCTATAATTGAGAAAATTATTTCACCATTCTTGAATCAAAATAACGATCTTAATCAGTATGAATTTCAACAGGAACTTCGTATCTACAAACTATTTCACGAACAAACCATTTTTGTTCTTATATTAAAAACAGGCAAAGCTTCTATCAGTATAATAAAACAACCTGTCATAACTAAAACATATTTATTTCCCTAAGAAGAGATTTGTAAAGGACCTAAAATATCCATTTGAACTCTTTCAAAAAGATCTCACTTTATATATTCTAATTAAGTTATGACCTTTATCCGACGGACTTTTCTTTACAAGACAAATAGAGCCAGATTTGCACCAATTTCCAACAACTTTTTTACTAGAAGCCCAATAAAATTTTTTATGATTTTTTGGTAGAGATTTATTTACATCAAAATGGCAACCGCATGCAGAATTATGAGATACTTCTAAAATAGAGGAGTATTATACAATATTTATGTACAATTAATTTAAGAACTCTATCCTTCAGATTATGTATGATTCACTCTTTATACAAAACATCATCTTGAATAACTAATGAATCCTATTGAGCCATGTAAACTTATGCAAATTCATATGTAGAAGAAATATCCTGTCAAGACAATTTAACTACAATCTTTTTATTATCTAAAATTGCTCGAATTATGTCATTCGAATTATATTGAATTATGACGTTGATGATCTTGCCAAACTATTTAGATTTTTCATTGAAAACAATACATTTTACAGAATATTTGGATTATATGTTATAGTGATATCTACAAGTAGAGAGACAATCTGCATTACAATGAGAATTACCTTTATTATGTAAAATTAAGAAGTCATACTGATCCAATTTACCTACCAATTTAGATCATCTAAATTTTAAAAGAAAGAATGTGTGTCAATGATGAATGATTAGTACAAATAACAAAGGACCTACCACATAAATATTGATGAAAATATTTTACTGAATCAACTACATCCAGTAATTCCCTACGAGTTACACAATAATTTATTTCAGTTAGTCAACACTTGACTATACTATCTAATTAGCCTCTCTAAATCATCATGGACTTGTGATAATACAGTTTTAATGCTATGAGCAGATACATCTATATCTAATATGAAAGATGAATTTATTTGTGAAAAAGTCAAAATGGGCAGTGTAGAAAGAGCTTGTTTCAAAATTACAAATGATTTATAACAATCTTTTGTTCAATCAAATTTATATTTTTTTTCAGTTGAACGATGTAGAGGTTTAGCAATAAAAGTAAAAACTTTAACAAATTGCCTATAATAAGATCAATAACCCAAGAAACTTTTCATTTGTTTTCGAGTAAAAGGAATTGGCCGAGAAATTACAGCTTCTATCTTTATCGAATCTGTTCTTCTACCCTATACTGGAACATTATGACCTAAATTCTTAATTATACGTTTGAAGAAAACACATTATTTTCCATTTAATGTCATTTGGGCATTTGGGATTTTAGTGAAAATAATTCATGGAAAACAATAATGGACAAAGGATGCTATCTTAGGCGACACCAGAGAATGTGCAAAGCCATGCTGAAATCGTACTGAACTTGTCAACAACTGCTTACTATCTGTCGACCAAGCAGGCAAAAACTAGTTCGGAATAGTGTCTGAAAAATTAAATCAACGAAGCTTACGTATTAGAATATTATGCGGAATAGAATCAAACATTTTAGAAAAGTCGAATGAAATAAGAATCGTTAAATTTCCATTTTCGATAGTACACTTGATCATTATAACCTTATTATCGGTCATTCCTACAAGAACCGTTTTATCAAGCTTCTTGGATGCTCTATTTAGCAGAGATGGCACCTGTCTTGTACTTTACTCCCCGCCTTCTCCACTCGACGAGCGTCGCGCCGCTTGTTTCCGTCTGTCAAGCCCATCTATAGTCAGTTTTGCAAACCCGCACCGCGAGTATCTCGCTACCTGTATTGATTAACGTCAAATAAAAAAAAAAGGAAAAGGAGTAACCCGTGGCTTATGTCTCGATAATCTGTCCGAGAAGGTATGCAGTTTTATACGCTAATTCGCAATTATGAGCTCGGGAAGAAGGCAACCGATAACTACGCTAGTCATTGGAGCTATTCAGAATCGAGCGCTGCTTGACTCGCGAAGCAGTTGCAGTACTGGTGCACCGCTATTTTGCATGCACGCGGTGAGCTTATATTCTAGTAACTAAATAAGATGTTCGATTATTGTTTAAGGACGTGTTACTTTCTATTTCCATCTTCATAATCTAATATGCGTGTGATTCCGTAGCCCATGATATTCTTCCAGGGTATATTCGGACACTCCGAGCCCGCAACTTTAAAATAATTTGTTAACGGCTAGTTCAAGGTAAATAAGTAACGACCGCTTTATTTTATCACTTTACGGAATATTTTACCAAATCCTTAAATTGGTTAACGATGTTTTCAATGAGTTATTGATAAAAAATGTAACACCAACACGAATAAAAGTGTTACTCCGAGATTATGCCATTTTTATTAATAATTTTATTTTTAAAAAACTTAACAAACGACTAAATATTTTTTAAATATTAAGTATGTTTAAATTGGTTATCATTTCACTGAAAATATAACTAATAAAAGGTAATTAGTTTAATTTTTCTATGGCTTTTAGAGAGAGTTTTATTTTTACTTTTTTACTAATATTACTCTACGAAATAAAAATAAAGAAAATAGTGTAAAGTTAATGTAATTAAATACTATAGATATGATAATATATTTCTAATTATAAGAATTATATTTTCAAAATCTGTATAAACATTGTTCCAGAAAAACTTATTTTTTCAGAAATTTATAGAATTGTTGAGCTGTTAAACGACTTTTATATAAAAGTTTTAAAGTATCAAGAAAAACATCTTGTTATAGATGTAGAAAGAATCATTCGATTATTCAAAAGTAAATTTTTCCAAGCTCTAATAGGTGAGTAGTTTTACCTTAATATTAGATTGATAATCATATTTAAATACGAAGATGTCATATGTAACATTTTTTTTTAAAGCATGTAACAGAGATACTATAAGATTTCTTTAGAAGATGAGACCGTCCAACTGAAATTGATTCCCTTGATGGATCTACATATGTATGATCGATACTAGAAGTCCCTATGGTTTCTTTGTAAATGAGCTATGATGTCTTGAGAATCTAGAAATGTACATATCTTGCGTACAAAACTATGAATAGAACTATTACATGCACTAATATGAAGTATTGGCTAATATAGTCTTACTAATATCGCAAACTATCATATTATATATATTTAAGACTGAAACTGTTCTATGATCCGAGAATTAAACCATGATATTATCACGACAGAAAAAAAGCGAAAAAAAAATTATGCATACATTCGATACCATCCATTTTGAGCTTCGCTTTTATGTTATATACGAGGTTTGTCCGGAAAATATCGGGCCTACGTTTATATCTTCGCCTTTTTCGCGTTCCTCGGATTTTGATATTGTCAAAAATGACTGAAAAACAAGATCAACGAATTTGCATCAAATTTTGCTTTCAACTCGGAAAAACGAGTTCGGAAACTATTGAAATGATGCAAAAGGCCTTCAGAATCGAGTGTATGAGCAAAACACGAATAAAAGAGTGGTATAAACGGTTCAAGGATGGTCGCACTTCTGTCGATAGTGATTCTCGTTCCGGCCAACCTTCGACGACAAAAACCGCAGATAATATTGAGCGGGTGCGACTTGCAATCGAACAAGATCGTCGTATGACTGTGCGAGAACTAGAAGAAGACCTTGGGATATCAAAAACTATCATTTCAGAAATATTAACCGAAAATTTAGGAATGAAACGCGTGTGTGCGAAATTCATCCCAAAATTTCTCACAGCAAAGCAGAAGAACATTCGCTTAGAAATCGCTCTGGACAATCTGGAAATGGTGAATAATGATGATAATGTACTTACAAAAGTTATTACAGGTAATGAATCATGGGTTTATGGTTATGATCCTGAAACAAATCCTCAATCCTCACAGTGTAAGCATTCTGAATCGCCAAGACCAAAAAACGCACGTCAAAGTCGGAGCAATGTTAAGTCAATGTTGATTGTTTTATTTTCGATTGTGAAGGTGTTCTACATCATGAATATGCACCAACAGGTCAGACAATCAATAAAGAATACTACGTTCAAATTTTGAAACGTTTGCGTGATGCAGTAAGAAGAAAACGGTGACTGGCTTCTCCATCACGATAATCTGGCGCATTCATCCAATCTTGTGTAGCAGTTTTTGAGCAAACACAATATCGCATTGCTTAGACAACCTCCATACAGTCCCGACATAGCCCCTTGTGAGTTTTGGCTGTTTCCAAAACTGAAACAACCACTTAAAGGACACCGATTCGATGACAAAACAACGGTTGAAAACAATGCGACGAGTGTACTTAAGGCTATCCCTAAAAGTGAGTTCCAGGACTGTTTTTAAAAGTGGAAACATCGATGGAACCCTATTATTCAATCAAGTGGGGATTACTTTGAATGATGCCACCCACCAGATGATAAAGAATAACGCCAGCACGAAAATATAAAAGTAGGCCCAATACTTTCCGGACAGACCTCGTACATTTTTACAGCATGATTTTGTGCGGTACTTTAGTTTTGGTGCTCTTTTGAGTTAACTGCCTCTGTTCTAAGAGTTCAATAATACGAGCATAAAAAATAAAAAATTGAGCTATTCCAAGAAAGAAAATAGTATATATTCATGTTTTTGGGATCGCGTAATCCAAATCCCTTGTTGGTTTGTTCCCAGCGCGACAGAGTCAAAATCAATAAAGGTTAGATTGCAGAAGTAAGTTTTTATTATTAGATATTTATATATTTTTCTGGTCGTTCAATTTGATTTTGGTGCTCACTCGATCTTATTTTATGTGGGTCAAGGTTAAATGAAGGTCATGAACTTCATTTTTGACCATGGATTTAGTAAGAGCGGCAATTGTACATCGAAAGAAATTTCTATAAGGGTTTTTTCTCTCAGCCTTCTAAATCCAAATGCGATTCCATTTCATCGGGGTCAAGATTAAATGAAGACCAAATGTGTTATCTATGGATGAACTTCTTTTGACCACGGAATTGGAAAGAGCGGACAACTTTGATCTTGAGAACCCTTATACCTCCGCATGGTCATGAGAGGTTGAGGAACACTATTTTAATTTGTGTGCTTGTGTAATTCAAGTTTATAAAAGTAACTCTAAAAACGCGTACTTCTTTCAGCAATTTATTTTCGCTTATTGCACATAACTAAAAGCTCAGAGCTTCAAAAATATACACATATTTAATGTAAGTTAAATTATCAGATTAAACAAAAATACTATCTCAAAAATAGATCAAACTAATATAGTAAATAAGTTAAATTGAAATCAATATAAATGATATTTATGATATTTATGCGCTCGCGCGCAAGAGAACTTAGGATGGAAAACAGAAGGAAATCAAAAGTTAATCTTACTATTTAAAACCTAATACCGATAATTTATTTCATTACAAACAATAATAAAGAACATTACATTTTTCTTTAAACCAGAGAAAAAAAGAAAGATTAATAATAAAAAATCAGTTTTTGGCGGGCGTGTCCCGTCCGAAAAAACTCTCGGGGCTTTACCCGGTGCTGGTGTTCTCGAAGAGGTACTGAACTCCTGTAAATCGGCATTTCTGCATAGTATACAGCGATGACTCTCTCCAGTAGACTCAGACAATCAAAGATATTTCAATGATTACATTTCTACTTACTGTGGAGTATGAGATCGTCATTTCTGTGCCTGCGAGGAAAGAAAAAGTGAGAAAAGAGAGGAAAGAGAGCTCGCACTGTACTGGTCGTTATCAGCTGCTATATTTTCTCTTTCGGTGGACTCGAGTGTTGGTGGTATTGAAGATAAGGCCGACGGGTGTACTTCAGGATCCATCGGCGATCCAGATCACCAAAGCAACAGCCAACAAAACCATAACGCAGAAACGCAATTAGCGACGTTAAATTTGTTGTTACCACCGGTGTCTTATCGGACAGAATTCATCAACCGAACTCTCAATTTCCGACTATCAGCTTTCGACGCCCTATAGTGGCCCAGCCTGTTTGTCGAAATAAAATGAAGGAAATGCCGAAAGAACATCTATGGGATCCTGAAAAGTTACTTTAAGGGGGCTAGCTAGTATTCCAGGTCAAAAAAAATCATTTTTTTTACTATTCTTACAGGAAATTTAACGCAGAAAACGATACCGATTTCAAAAATATGTCTTCCTAAAAAGTTCTACGTAATATTGCAAAAAAACTATTTTCATGTTTTTTCGAATGTGAATTATAACTTTTTTATTTTATCGTTATAATTTTTTTTAATATATTAAACTATTAAAGCCTACAATAATGAATTTTATTGTTGTGGCAAAACAAATAAAATACTTGTATATGACGTATCACATTTTCCAAAAAAGATTTTCTGTCAGTATTATGCCATTAGGACGAGTTGCTTCGTTGAAAACTGTGTGGGTGTATTTAAAAACGTATTCGTGTGTGTAATAATAATTAAATCTGCAATTTTCATTTCAAAAAATCGTGTTAAGTTGCGCGTGTATTATATTATTTATTAATTTATTTACAACTGTCTAAATTTAAGGAAAAACATTATTTGAATTATTTAAAAATCTTACCAAACTAAATTCTTTTTTCTAAATGTATGTGATTATAAGTGAAATTTTATTACAAGATAAAGCAACTATGGCAAAACAGACTGTAGTAGATGATCGAAGACGAATTTTTGATGGTTTAGACAAGAAAAGAAGATTTGGAAGAGCCAAGAAAAGACCTAAAGCTTTTCAAACAAAAACAAGTGATGATGCTGCGCCTGCCAAAAAATTCAAAAGTAGTACTACAAAGAAAATACCTGATGAAGTGGAAATAGATGTTTCAGATACACAATTCAGAATTATAGATACTAATTTTATTTATGCAGGTTTTGAAAATATTTTGTGTTGTAATGCATGCTATTGAAAAATAGAAATTTCAGAAAAAGGCTGTCGAGCTAGTACTTGTATTGAGTGTGGTAAAAAGGATTCTATCGATGCATACAAAAAAAGTGGAAAAACGAAGAATGGATATGAAGTCAATAGGGGATTAGTATTGTCTATGCATGCACTTGGTCAGGGATAAGCTGGTTCAGAGATATTCTGTGGTATTATGGATTTCCCCAAACTAGTAGCTTATAATTCCCACGATGACATAAATATTCAGTTGTCATAAGCATGCCATGAAGTAGCTGAACAGTCTATGAACTTGCCATTCAAGAGGTAGTAGCAGCTTTATCCAAAGAAGAAAAGGACTCAGGGCTACGGATGCTCCAGTTTGATTGGAGTAGACAGCAACAAAGCTATAGGAAGATGTGTCAAGAAGAGCTATTGCAGAGGATGTAAGAGTGGAAAAATAAGGAAGATACAGCAGAATATAGAGAGTGGTACGAAGAGCACCAAATTAAATGCCAAGCCAATCATTTAAGTATATCAGGAAAAATGGAAGTTGATAGTATTTTGGAAATAATTGAAAAATTGTACAAGAAAAATTAAAAAATTGAATACTACATTGGAGATTGAGATAGAAAATTATTTCTATCTATTCAAAATAAGCAACCGTATGAAGATGATCTGATAATCAGCAAGAAAGAGTGTGTTGGTCGTGTCTAGAAGAGAATGGGTACTCGACTAAAAAATTTTTGGTGGTAAAAGTAGATTAACAGGAAAGGTAATTGATCAACTTACTGTCTACTATAGAAATGCCATTCAAGCCAACTGTTGTGCATCGGTTCAAGAAATGAGGAATGGCAACATTTTACCACAAGAGTTCTACGGACAGCGATCCATAACATCAATACTGCTCAGAAAAAGGAAACTGTTGGTGCGAGTATCAAAAATCAAAAGTCCAAGGAAAG